TATCTATCTATCTACTGTATCTATATATCTATCTACTGTATCTATCTATCTACTGTATCTATCTATCTATCTATCTACTGTATCTATCTATCTATCTACTGTATCTATCTATCTATCTATCTACTGTATCTATCTATCTATCTACTGTATCTATCTATCTATCTACTGTATCTATCTATCTATCTACTGTATCTATCTATCTATCTACTGTATCTATCTATCTATCTACTGTATCTATCTATCTTTCTACTGTATCTATCTATCTATCTAACAGAAAGCACTCATTTTTGGTGAGCCCTCTTCACTGCTTCTGTTTACATAAATGTCAATCACTTACTACAACCACAACAGCATTTATTATCAAATATCAACTTCCATAAAGTACTATTACTACTACTACTACTACTACTACTACTGCTGCTACTACTATACAGTATCACACCATGACGACTGCTGCATCAGGAGAGCAGAGAGAAACGTGACCTTGACTTCATATCTCATCTATTTCAAAGCATATCCCCGAAGACTGAGTAAGTAATGAAGGACATGCAACTTGTACCTTTCCTGCATCGATCCAATCCTCAAAGAATAATATTTAGAGCCGTGCAGAGATATTGCAAGGGGGAAACTCATTAGCTGCTCAAAGCTTAAGGGGGAAATTGATTAGTTTGAGTTGTTTAATTAGCAATGAAAGGACTGAGAAGGTGAATGGTGACACAGACAGAGGCAGAGAGAAAGAGAGACAGACACAGAGGCAGAGGACAGAGGTAGAGAGAGAGAGAGACAGACACAGAGACAGAGGCAGAGGACAGAGGTAGAGAGAGAGAGAGACAGACACAGAGACAGAGGCAGAGGACAGAGGTAGAGAGAGAGAGAGACAGACACAGAGACAGAGGCAGAGGACAGAGGTAGAGAGAGAGAGAGACAGACACAGAGACAGAGGCAGAGGACAGAGGTAGAGAGAGAGACAGAGGCAGAGAACAGAGGCATAGGCTGAAGTATAGGCTGAGAGAAAAGCAGAGAGAGAGAGAGTGAGAGAAAGGCTTAGAGAGAGACGGGTAGAGACATAGACAGAGAGCGAGACAGAGGCAGAGAGAGAGAGAGAGAGACAGAGAGAGAGAGAGAGACATAGGCAGAGAGAGAGACAGAGGCAGAGAGAGAGAGAGAGAGAGACAGAGAGAGACATAGACAGAGAGCGAGACAGAGGCAGAGAGAGAGAGACAGAGAGAGAGAGAGAGAGACATAGGCAGAGAGAGAGACAGAGAGTGAGACAGAGGCAAAGATAGAGGCAGATAGACAGGCAGAGAGAGAGACAGAGGCATAGGCTGAAGTATAGGCTGAGAGAAAAACAGAGACAGAGGCAGAGGGAAAGGCAGAGACAGAGACAGGCTTAGAGACAGAGAGAGAGAGAAATAGGCAGAGAGAGAGACAGAGAGAGAGAGAAAGAGACAGGCTTAGAGAGAGACAGAGGCAGAGACAGAGAACGAGAGAGAGACAGATTCAGAGACAGAGAGAGAGACAGAGGCAGGTTAACTAAGGCCATAGCTTTAGCTCGTTCTAAGATTTATAGCTGCAGTAGTCGTGGTGACATTAGGATTCATCATGTGTCAAAATGTATCGCAGTTCACTTTGATGATGAGATGTACGTCTAACCAGGGCCCTGGTTACATCCCATTCGACTGTAGTAATCATTTATAATACCGCAGTAGTAGTACACATGAGTATTACAGCCACGAATCCTGGATCTATTCCCCATCCGTCCACGGGAGCAGCCTTCTAGAGGTTTCTCACTTTTCTCCCACTGGGTTTTTACGAGTTTTTTCTTGCAGATGCAGGAGGGTGTAAGCTCTCAGGTCATCTGCCCTTCATGGACCAATGGCCTGTCCTGTGTTTGGTTCTCTGATCTGTGCTGGTGAATCGACAGCTCTGTGAAGCCCCCTGAGATCATGACTGCGGTGATGTAGGGCTGTTTTAGTGAATCGGCTGATCAGGATATTGTCAGTCTGTCAGGGATGAACCAGACAGAGACGGATCGTGGTGCGCCAAACTCTGGAAGTTTATTTAAGTTTCTCTCAAGTTCCAGTGGTTTCCATTGTTTCTTTCTCTCAGACAAAATGGAGTCAGTACACAGTTTATATAGACATTGTCACGTCAGACATCGAAAGACATACGTGTCACACAGAGACAGTCACATCAGAGTCAAAATAATCAGAGTCCTTGTAGAGTCCTGCACGTAGGCCATATTGCTATCTATACTCTATACTAACAAGTCCAACGGCTGTGTATAAAGAAGGATTAGCTGTGTATGAGAAAAAGTGAAAGATGGAAGATATTAGGATTAAGTTAGTTTAAGTTTTTAGGAAGAACAAAACTATTCATCAATGACTTATGAATAGCAACATTGTCTTCTAGTGGTTTTAGTCAGACATATTTAGCACTAATGGTTCTGAAAGCTTTTGCCGTACACCCTTTTTTTCACACAGACTATAGTTTTTTTTTTTTTTTTTTTTTTACAGTTGTATGTCTCTATCTTTTCACTGCTTCCTGCATCTTATTTGAGAGTGATAATTCCCCAATTCCCCAACCAAAGATCCCCTTATCTAATTTAATCTGGTTAATACTGAATGGAATTAATTCACTGGTGTGCTGTGTGTTAAAACAAACATGGGTATTGTTTCGTTTGGCTACGACAACAAGCACATTACGACAATACATCTAGAGAATAACATTACTATTATTATTAGATAGATAAATTATTATTCATCTTTAATTCAGCGGCTACAGGAGTGAGATTCATAACAGTTCAAAGACAGGAACTGCAATAATAACAAAACCATAACACCAGCAAATGTAAATGCACTTGGGTTTATTCCTCCTCTGCATTTGACCCAGATCCTGAGGCCACTAAGGTTCTGTCAGGAGCAGAGGTCGCCGTGGTAACAGATGTGGATGCTTGGCTTGGTCAGGACCAGAGCTGGAGCATTTAACTATTGTACACGTTTGTAGTGGTAGGGGAAACCAGAGCACACGGAGGAAACCGGAGCACACAGGGGAAACTGGAGCACTTGGAGGAAACATACACAGACACGAGGAGATCATGCAAATTCCACTCAGAAAGACCCTGTTCCGACCGGGATTCGAACCCGGGACCTTCTTGCTGAGAAGCGAGAGTGTTAACCAATCCTAGCCACTGGTCCATAGGGAGTGGATTGACCATAGTCTACAAACTTGGACATTGGGCATCTCTGACTCAACAGAGACTACAGCAAATGACGCTATAAGAAGTGTGTTTTTCTTTTCTTGTTCGTAGAAATTAGCAACAAAAGCATGGTTAATAAACAGACTCTCAACAGCTCCCATCAGAAACAGCAGCTGACCAAAGCAACAAACTTACATTCCGTCTTTGCGTGAGTTATTGTGCAGCTAATGTTAACACTCTGGGCGTTTCTCGGTGCTGTTGTGGTCCTGCCCGTGCTCTCTCTCTCTCTGCGCCTCATATAAAACTCTTTTCATTCATCACGGCGTCTGGGGATGTGTGTGGAGCTTTGGCCTGCTGCTGAATCATCAGTGTGCAGTGCTGCTTGTGCCTGTCCTGACACATCATTACACACAGTTACATGTCATATGCAAAGTGCCATGTCCTCTGGCTGCTGACGCACACACTCAGGCGGCGTGTGGAGGTAACACACAATAGGAGAGAAAGATTGTCCAAGAATATTGGACAGAAATAACACAGGAAGCTTCCAGTATTCATTAAATTATTCATCATGGAGCGTCAGACTGGACAATTGTACCTGATCAAGCCTGGCTTATCAACTCTCCCAAATTCCACTTGCCCCAAACACAGAGCACCTTACAGATCACGTGACCAGCCCCACCCATGGCCTGGCTCAGCTCCCCTGGAATCAAAGCACTATTTCCATCTGTCTCTGAAAACTCTGGAGATCTGCAACATCTTATTATTGCAGCACACTTTAAACATTATTCTCTTTCAATGATAAAAATAAAGATGGCAGCTTTTTAAAGTCTACAGCGCTGCTCCTTTAAGTGTTTGTCCTTATACAATTCTTAACATCTCATTATCATAATTACATGACCGGAGTAATTTATGAGCAATCGTAAATAATCCTGACTTATTATCAATAAACTGTTCCGTTTGGAGCAACCCCTTTAACGCTTGACGTGAGGAAAAGTCTGAGTCATGGCTTCAGTATCTCACATTCAGAGGACGTCCCAAAGTGACATCATCACCTCAACATTTTTACTGCAGTAACTTAAGGCACAGACTTCCTTTCCCCACAACAGTTTGTCAGGTCAATCCTCGGACTGGTCAAAGCACAGGTGGAGATCACGCACGTCTCGCCGCAGTCCGACAGATGCATGACGTTCATTTGAAAGAGCAGGTGAAGGAGCACGCTTCCCAAAAGTGCTGCAGTGGGCTGGTCCCGTCAGACATTAGAGGAATAATGTGCTCTCTGTTTCTGCACATCCTGCGTCTGCCCCACAGACTGCATCTGCCCCAGAGACCACATCTGCCCCATAGACCACATCTGCCCCATAGACCACATCTGCCCCATAGCCTGCATCTGCCCCAGAGACTGCATCTGCAGAGACAGCGGTGCAGCAGAGCGGCTTCACGCCTCGCTCAAAAGTGCAGAGTTGCGAACACGTTGCTGAACTTGGACAGAGCAGCACTGCCGCTGCACTCACTGCTCACTGCAATGCAGACAGTGCTGCGATGGGGCGCACCACACGCACCTTGAGTGCAGCAGCAGCTCCCGTCACTTTGACTCCCACAAAACACCAACAAAGCCGCATTAACGTGATGCATGTCTAGGTTTAACCACACTCGACGTCTCAATCAATCCGAGCGCCCTTCATTATCCCCGTCTCCTTACGCCTGTGCCCTCGGCTGCCATTTTAGTCTCCAAATCTATGTGTTAACATGTGCGCAATCATGTGTCTGTAAGTTATAACAAAGTGTTGATGACGAGACTTACGTGTAGAGGAAGGCTGGAAACCCCACAATAAAAGGCATATGCTCAGTATGTTGTGCGCCATTCTTCATTCGGGCCCCGCTCCCCGCAGGTGTCGGCGTCAGTCCAGTCCGTGTGTGTTCTGCAGCATCCTCTCTCTGCCTTTATTACAACTTTCACTCGCGCAGCTCCAACTCCAGCTCCCGGGATGTAGGCAGCCTGTGCCGTAGCGGGGACGCGCATGGATGGTGGTGCTGATGCTGCTCCGAGAACGCGCTCTCCTTTTCTACACTTTAATTTGTTTTATTTACATGACCGTCGTGGGACGCACTGACGTGGTTCCTGTGCGCCGTGTGGGTACATTTAATAAGCAGGACATGTGTGAGAAGTGTGGAGACCCAGGAAAACTGGATCTGGAAAAGTTTTACTTCACTGCGTCTGAGTGCAGGGCCAAAAATAAATGCGTGAATGTCATCCTTGGTTGGTCCTCTCCTTATTCTGTAAATCCCATGGATAACGGTGCCTTCTACAAATCTGCAGTGCTTGCTCCGGGTTGCATCCCAAACAGCACTGAGAGAGCTGCGGTTATTCCAAAAATAGCTCAGTGTCCACTTGTGTCCAGCTCTGCGCGTCCTTCCTAAAATGCCGCTGACCTCGGCCGTGGGACTCTGCAGACAGTTCAGTTGTGTCTGTGGAGGAGGAAGAGGAGGAGGAGGAGGAGGAGTGAGGCTCAGGATGAAGGGATTTGTGGCAATGAGTGGCACACTGACCATGAAATAAAAGGGCTTTAGGATTAAAAAGGGGGTTTATGGGCCTGCAGCGACGATGGGCGCATGTGTGATTGAATGCCTGGGCCAGAGTGGGATTTACCGAGTTCAAATCAAATCAGATTTTCAGATTCTAAGCTTCAGACACCAATGGCTGCTTTACTACAACATCAGCAAAGGACAATGGCACAACACAAAAGACAAGACAATAGAGAGCAAATGTACCCGTTATAGGCTTGTGTTTTTGTTTTTCATTCACATTATAATCCCATAGGCCTAGCTATATATAATTTCAACACACCCATATTTGAATAAATTTCTTGCTATACATATATTTCTTTTGTTATCGACATTTTACTGGGTATATTTTTCAGTTCGCTCTCTTTTAAATTCGACCATTGATTATGAAAAAGTACAGTATATTAACACAGGCCAGATGTTGCCCATTTGAGGATTAATCTGACCTTTTGCGTGGTGACCAGTCCAGTTGATTGGACCAGCACTGGTTTCCATAGCAACACGAGACAAAGACTTAGCGACAAAATATTTACATACCAAGTCAACACCAGTGGCATAAAAATCATATAAACAGACTTCTTTGTTTTTCTTTTGTCACGTATTCATATATATTTTACTTTAAATAGTTATAACTGTTGTGTTTTCTATACACTGTGACTTCATATAAAGTATTTTTTCAATGTTGTAGTATTTTTCTTGTGTTAAACGTGCATATAGATAAATGAAAGTACAATGCATGGTTTTATTTAAGTAAGTTAGTAATAATGATAGCAGTTACCTACATCTTTCTTTAATATGACATGTCTTCTTTGTTTGTTTTTATGTCTCTTTGCCAATAATATATTATAAAGACATAGTTATCTTGGGTTTCATTGAGTCAATCTACTGTATATAGACAATCCCTTAAATATTTGCAGTACAACAACAGACCACTAGAGGGCAGGCTGCGACAGAGCAACATTTTTCTGCCCCACGATTGGACTGAGGAATATCACAGGAGCGTACAATATCTCCAACACTCTCTGATAAAAACATAGTACTTTTCTTATAGATAAATACACAATTTTATAACGTCAAAACAGGTCAAACCTCATTTTTTTTAGGAACATGTGGAACCATCATGGATTCAAAGCAGTAGTACCATTATAGAGTTGTCTGCACCTAATTTTTTAAAAATGCTTGAGGTCAAGAGAAGGAGACATGGGTCTGTTTGGATTTTCTTTTCTGCTCTTTAGTGGGAAACCGTAAAATATGTATAGAGATTAATTAAATTGTTTAAGAGCGAAAAAGATTTGGAGCGTGTTTGGAGAGGCACTGTGCATTTCTGCTTACCTGTAAACAGTCAAATATGGCTTTAGGGCTTTTTGTAAACAAGAAAATTCAATAAAAGCTGGAGAGTTTTAGCTCAACAGGACTCAAAGCTGGAGTAGCCAACGTTCAACAACTCATCTGAACTACCGTATCTAATATAATCTATAAAGTGCTGTTGTGGCCATTGTTGAGAGTGTGTTGCCACAGTAACCAGCCTGGGCTATATATGTGTGCTCTTGAAAAAATAAACAGATTGAAGGTCCAGACTTACGGAATAACAGAGAAAGTGGTTTTAATGGAGGCACAGATGTCATGGTTCCATACGAACAGTTTCACTTCCACATCCAATGCACTTTTCCCACAAAAAAGCACAGTCAAAAAACTGTTGGGCCTAAACCCGGGTCACTTTCCACATTACACTCACTGGTTCCCCCTACTGTCATTAAAAGGAACTGCACTTTACCTGGCCCCACCCAAACACACACAAATTAAAGCATAGGTGCCTACCAAAACAAAATTATTAACTTAGAATTAGCATTTTCATACTGGGAAATAAAACGGCCTTTACAAGTGCTATAGTTCTTTGCTAGAACTAGTCCCTCGCTCTAAAAACAGGTTTTATCCGTTGGTTTTTTTTTTTTCATAAAGTTGTTTGTATTCGTTTTTTTTCAGACAGAAAAGTGAAAAAGCCCTCGCTCTCAGCCTATAGCATCAAAAAGTAACTCATAGGACTCTTCTTTCCTACAAAAATGCAAAAGGTTAACGACGGTTGTGGCTGGATTTGTTCACAATATTTTACTTTTGCAAGACTCTTTCTGCTGAGACAAACAACACGAGGAAAATCTAGGTAACCCAGCTTTAATCTGAGCTATGACAAAGTTGACTTTTCTTCTGAATGACTTCTGGGTGAATGTGAAAATAAAAACAAGTGCCCTGGAGTCCGACGACAGCTGCTTTTCTCACACATGTGTTTTTTCATCAGATTGTGCTTCGCTCGGCCCCCATTCTGAGCGCAGCCTTTCCATAGGGGTGCTATTGTAGAGGGCATGAGTGCAAAAACATACAAATATTCTCACGTTGGCTCGTAAAACAATAACTGTTTCTTTATACAGCTGGGTCGAGTCAGCTTCTAGGCTGAATGTATCGGACATTTGGTGAGAATTTACTATAATAACCCAAGCCTATCCCTGGACTGTGCCTTTTTCAAAACAAGTAGGAGAAGAAGGATTGGATTTGGATTTACTGTAGTTAAAAGTATGAGAATAATATATATATATATATATCTCAGTTATTTGTGGCTGTTGATGACATTTTTGTGTGTTAAGAGTAAATGTATGAATTTGAATTTCTCCAACAGAGATCAATAACGTATCTGTCTGGGGTTTTTTTTATTATTCTGATCCATAGCCAATAGTTTCCAGAATAGATTGCAGGACACTTAGCTGGAGGTCACCAGATGATTTCAAGGCATAATTCTAAACTTGTGATGTATTGAATGCTGCCCCCTGCTGCCCGCTACTGCCCCCTGCTGCCCCCTGCTGCCCCCTGCGGCCCCCTGCTGCTCCCTGCTGCCCCCTGCTGCCCCCTGCTGCCCCCTGCTGCCCCCTGCTGCCCCCTGCTGCCCGCTGCTGCCCCCTGCTGCCCCCTGCTGCTCCCTGCTGCCCCCTGCTGCCCCCTGCTGCCCCCTGCTGCCCCCTGCTGCCCCCTGCTGCCCGCTACTGCCCCCTGCGGTGTGTGTGCAGGGCAGTGTTGGCTCATTTGGCTCTGTTGCAGTGGCTCCTGTTTCAGCTCTGGGATCATTCACAGAGAGAGGACACTTACATCTTCTGCTTATTTGAAATGTCTCGGGACAAAATGAAAGTGTATCTTAGTCATTTTTGGACTTGTTTTGAAACTGTTTTTGTTTTTATCACTGCACTGTTTGAACTGTGTTTGATTCTCTGATCTGTGTTGAGCGAGTCGATGGCTCGCAAAGTCCTCCGAGATATTTACTGTTGTGATTTTTGCAAATACAAAAATGAATTGATTTGACAATTCTTTCTTGTACTTTTTAGCTTGTTTCATGTTAAATAGTTGCCTGGTGCACACTGGGGAACTTTTGCATGTGTATTCCAATGTGGTTTTACTGCAAATGGCAAATAAAATGAATCGGAATCTTTACAAACAAAAGCTCGTGACAAAACATCAACAATATCGCATCAGTTTTATGCTTCTCAGGACACTCAAAGACGCTTCTTGTGTCATTATTCATTAACTCCATACACAGTGGTGATAAACTACTGTAGCCACAGCTGCCCTGGGGCACACTGACAGAAGTTACCAGTATGTGCTCCCCCTCTGACCACCACCAGCCTTTCACACACAACAGACTCATTCATGGGCAATGTGGGTGAAGTGTCTTGCCTCAGGACACCCCTCATTAAACCTCCAACAGAGCCACTGTCTGTTGTGGGTGTAAAGACAGTTGGTAGAGCATTGTTTTTTGGACCTAATGGTTGTGGGTTCGATTCCCCCACAACCCATGGCACCTGCACCAGATGTCCACTTTTGTTGTGTCCCTGGGCAAGACACTTAACCCCACATTTGCTTTGTCTGATTGCCAACCTCCCGACCCAGAAATGGATAAACAAAGGGAAAGAAGATAACATGACATGACAACACACCCACAGCAGCCCTACTGTGGCACCTGGTGTTCGAGTCTCCCATCACAGTATAAACCAGGCACTACACGGCTTAGCTTCAGTGGTCTGACAGAATCTGGCTTTTCTCGTGTCGGTGGAATCACAAGTAAAAAAAAACACTGTTCACTTCCTTGTTTTAAAATGCAACTTTTTCAGATCTGCTGTGTGTATGTGTATGTGTGTGTATGTGTATGTGTGTGAATGTGTATGTGTGTATGCGTTTGTGTATGTATATATAAATGTGTGAATGTGTATGTGTATATATATGTGTGCATGCATGTGTATATATATATGTGTGCATGCATGTGTATGTATATATACAGTATGTGTGTGCATGCATGTGTATATATGTGTGTGCATGCATGTGTATATATGTGTGTGCATGCATGTGTATGTATATATACAGTATGTGTGTGCATGCATGTGTATATATATGTGTGCATGCATGTGTATGTATATATACAGTATGTGTGTGCATGCATGTGTATATATGTGTGTGCATGCATGTGTATATATGTGTGTGCATGCATGTGTATATATGTGTGTGCATGTATGTGTATATATGTGTGTGCATGTATGTGTATATATGTGTGCATGCATGTATATATGTGTGTGCATGCATGTATATATGTGTGTGCAGGTCATCGCAGCAGCCGCGTGGACACCTCCATCACACCCAGCAGCAGCTGTGACCTCCTGAAGGTGAGCTCTGCCAGGACTTTTGTTCTCTGTGTTTGCTGCTAACAACAGCTCCAAACACTGGTGTAGAGGAGCCATGGAAACACACCGCGACCCATAATGCAACAGTTGGGCGGCTGTTATTTAGTCTGCTCCCAGTTTGTTTACCCACCGCCTTTTATCTTTAGTTGCTGCTCCTTCCTCTTTGTTTGGTGTAATCTGCGGCTGTAGCAAATGACAGTTGCAGCTGAGGATGACGAGGGACGATGAAGGACGATGAAGAACAATGAAGAGGCCCCAGACGCACTGGTGCAGTCTGTGCCGTGGTCAGAGGAAACGCAAAAATCACGATCAGATTCAGACTATTTTTTATGGCCGTCGTAAGTAACAGGAAGTCACAAAGTAAGGCTAGTAATGTCACAAAGAAGTTATAAAAAAGTAAAAACATAGATATAAAAGGAATGCATGAAAAACATCCAAGAAAATCTGATACACAAATACACACAATAGATATTTTTTATACACATACACAGGGAGTAAAAAATCCCTTCCACAATGCTTTGAAGTAGAGAAAAAGGTTTTGAAAATAATTTGACCAATACTGTATCACACTGAGGCGCATTTAGGTCTATTGTCACGTGCCATAATAAATACAGGTATTAAAACTAAAACTAATAGATAGATGAGGCTCAAGCAATCAGCCTCATCTACACAGTCACACACCTGTACTCATCACGTCAAGCTGCCCTTCGTGCAACAACCCACCTCCTCCCCATTTCCACCTCTTCAGAGGAGAATCATCATGTCATCAGCTCTGCTTTCTTCCTTCCTGCAGTATTTATGACGAGATCTAATCGCCAAAACGTCCATGTTCAAATCCGTCTGTCTATGCCGTAAACCGTTTCCTGTGAGGGTGGATGACAACAGGAAGAAGTCCTCATCACACACTCATTCATAAACTTTCCACCTCCAGACCCCTGAGGCAAACTTACCAGCTGCCCGGTGCCACGCCCTACCCACGGAGGAGGCACGGCCCTGGCTTCTCCCATTACTTATTCAAATACTAAGATTATATCAGTACCTTCTAATGCATGTGCCGGGTCTAGTTGTCTAATCATGTAGCTACAATATATCCCTGCAAACTTGACAATGAATACAATTTGAATTGTCTTTTAGTGTTTTGTCTAATGTGCACACTAGGTACTTTTGCACAATTAGTTCCATGTGGGTTTTAAAACCGAAATATGGAAATATAAAGTTACTCAAGTAAAAGAATGGGGGCCAAAAACGCAGTAGAAAACTATAAAAACTATCCCTCTCTGTTTTACTGCATTGGTGTTACTGTTTTTTATATTTAGAATCTCATTCCAAATCAGCCTCAAAAATAACTAAGGCAAAAAAATTAGAGCACATTTTTTCTCTGTATATTCCTTTTTTCCATTTTTGTATTTACATTGCAACTTGAAGGCAGTTTTGAATCTCTCGCAGACCAAACCTGATTACCTTTGGCTGCCCTGCCACAGAACGGCCTGTCCTCTCCTCTTCCCACAGTGACAGAGGCGGGGGTGGGATGTGGAATGGGGTGTGTGGGGGTGGTGGGGGGAGTGTTGGAGGCAGAATTCGGGGCATTGGGAGGACACCCAGCCCGCGCGGTGTAACTGGGGTAATGCTTTAAAGAGGTTGGATGGACTTACAAGAGACAGACCGTGTGTTGAAATGATGCATGGTGATGGGCGAATAATGACGGCTGCCCTTGAGGCCTGGGGGGACTGCGGTCTGGGCTCGGGTGTGGGTTTTTTACAGTAGGGGGAGGGGGAAGGACATTTAATACAGATTTTCTCCCCACGCCCATAAATGATACGTATATGCCAACAGAAAGTAAACACACATGCTGTATTCTGTACTTTTTAATAATGTCATATCTTCATTGCTTTTAAGAGCCTTGTGAGTCACTATTTGACGCTTTGGGCCGGAGGATTTGAAGGGTGAGGGTTGGCCTTTCTGCTTCACTTTTCTGTCTGAATTGTGACAGAAGCCAAAAATACGTGCAAAAAAAAAAAAGGTAGAGCTGGAACCAAACCGTTTTGGGAGCAAGGAAATATGGGTGGATTTGATTACGTATTACACGGCTTTTCACAGCAGCAGTAGAGCACTCCATTGATTTGAATGTAATTTCAAAACGTTCTACCGGTCATTATTTCTTGATAACTGACCTCTCAAAACAATAATGGCCGCTGCCCAAACGCACTCTCTGCTTGTCATCCTCAGTTTTCATGCAGTTCAAGAGAGTTCTAGTTTGGAAGTTGCTAGCCTGACTGTTACTAGCATAGCCACGGGAAAGCCTTTGGGAACTATTTTATTTTTGGTCATTAAATAAGTACCTTCAGAGCAGAAGCAGACCCCTCCGCTGAGCGTCGCGTTCTATATATTATCCCTACATAACGAACCTATCAAACCAATAATGACTGCTGCCCATGGTAACGCAATCTGGGCTTGAAATCCACAAGTCGTCCGGCCACTTTCGCCAACGAGCTTTCAGCCGCACCTGAACACTGTAAAGCACTTTGGGTGTAAAATGTGCTATATAATTAAACATGACTTACTTACTTACTACGTCGCTCCTGAGGTTAGCGGGACTCCGACTTTCAACTTACCCAGAGATGCACCTCACTCACCTCCAACTGCACCTTTCGGCATTTAGAAAAGTAGACTGAAGTTTATTTTTTGTGTTCAGTTGACAGCCATAATCTGTAGAACGCAGGTCATTTTGGGAAACAAAGTACCGTCCCTTACGTATTGTCCCATTTTTGTGGTTTGAAGTCAGATACCTCAGCTTTAATCTGGTGTCAGTGAGCTCCCATTTGGAAGTTGTATTTATTAGAGTTTGCTGACAACTTAGTTAGATTTATACTTAAGAAAAACACTATAACCTCGAATGTCTATTGTGGCTCTCACTTTTTGGCTCCCGCCTCTTGCTTGTGTCTCTGGATGTTATGGCCACATTGCCAAGAGTCAGCATGGATTAGGCCCAAATGGAAATAGGAGAAGTTGCACACAGACACGGACATGCACACAGTTTATGTAGGCTACCAAGACATTTATTTTAATACAAACAGTTATTTAGTGCTGCAAAGTTCATGGAAACATCACACAGACAATGGTGAGTTATTGGACGGCACCATTACCACAGGATTTCAAGCCAAAGTATCAAAACTATATATTGTATGGTCTTTTAAAATCAATGGCTGTCCAAAGCATATTGAAAGAATAAGGGAGATGATCTTATTGCAGAATTATGTTTTAATAACCTCTCTCTGCCTAACTATGTTTTGATACTGTTTTATTAAACTATATAACAGGCCAGAGGTTTCCCACGTGTGCTTGTCTCTGTGCCTGAAGTGGTGCAAAGGGAGAGGGAGGAGGCTACTTTTTTACAGTTCATAATAAACCAGGAAAAGTCCTCACATGAACCAGGCCTTTCTAACTGTTGGGTTGGAGGGTCCATAAGCTGCTAGATATTCCATGTATTTTTGGTCTTGTCTGGAGCAACAGCAGCATCTCCTGAGAGCTGATTTGTTGTCAAAGTCATATGAAGAAAATTGCAATAATCACTCTATATTTAAGTATTGGGATATATCACAATCTTATGAGATATTGCGGCGCGACAGTGGCTCAGTTGGTAAAGCATTGGCCTTTGAGCCAGAAGGTTGTGAGTTTGAGTCCACCACTGAATCTCCACCGACACCCACTGACTGTCTGTGGCTCGTCTCATGTGTCTCACCTGTGTCTCGTTAGTCTCATGTGTATCACCTGTGTCTCGTTAGTCTCATGTGTCTCACCTGTGTCTCGTTAGTCTGTGTCTTACCTGTGTCTCGTTAGTCTCATGTGTCTCACTTGTGTCTCGTTAGTCTCATGTGTGTCACCTGTGTCTCGTTAGTCTCGTGTCTCACCTGTGTCTCGTTAGTCTCATGTGTCTCACCTGTGTTTCGTTAGTCTCATGTGTCTCACCTTTGTCTTGTTAGTCTTATGTGTCTCACCTGTGTCTCGTTAGTCTCATGTGTCTCACCTTTGTCTCGTTAGTCTTATGTGTATCACCTGTGTCTCGTTAGTCTCATATGTATCACCTGGGTCTCGTTAGTCTCATGTGTGTCACCTGCATCTCGTTAGTCTCATGTGTATCACCTGTGTCTCGTTAGTCTCATGTGTATCACCTGTGTCTCGTTAGTCTCATGTGTCTCACCAGTGTCTCGTTAGTCTTATGTCTCTCACCTGTGTCTCGTTAGTCTTATGTGTCTCACCTGTGTCTCGTTAGTCTCATGTGTCTCGTTAGTCTCATGTCTCTCATGTGTCTCACCTGTGTCTCGTTAGTCCCATGTGTCTCACCTGTGTCCCGTTAGTCTCATGTGTCTCACCTGTGTCTCGTTAGTCTCATGTGTCTCACCTGTGTCTCGTTAGTCTCATGTGTATCACTTGTGTCTCATTAGTCTCATGTGTCTCACCTGTGTCCCATTAGTCTCATGTGTCTCACCTGTGTCTCGTTAGTCTCATGTGTCTCGTTAGTCTCATGTGTATCACCTGTGTCTCATTAGTCTCATGTGTCTCGTTAGTCTCATGTGTCTCACCTGTGTCTCATTAGTCTCATGTGTCTCATTAGTTTCATGTGTCTCGTTAGTCTCATGTGTCTCACCTGTGTCTCATTAGTCTCATGTGTCTCACCTGTGTCTCGTTAGGCTCATGGGTCTCACCTGTGTCTCGTTAGTCTCATGTGTCTCATTAGTTTCATGTGTCTCGTTAGTCTCATGTGTCTCACCTGTGTCTCATTAGTCTCATGTGTCTCACCTGTGTCTCATTAGTCTCATGTGTCTCACCTGTGTCTCGTTAGGCTCATGGGTCTCACTTGTGTCTCGTTAGTCTCATGTGTCTCACCTGTGTCTCGTTAGTCTCATGTGTCTCACCTTGTTTTTCACCAAGACAATCCAACTTTTTGTGTAACGAGTCAGTTTTTCAAGTTTTGACGATAGCACATTTATTCTGTTTCACCTGTATATCTAACCAAATACACAACAAATATCTAATTTTCTTTACTTCTCATTAAATGTTGAAAAAGTGGAAAAGATTAATAAAAAGACAACCATAAGGAATGATATCAGGGAGGGTGCGGCCATGGAACTATAGACCTATCGGACAAACAAAGACATAAGGGTACACAACTTCTGATTTGAATTATGCACAAATTAATTGAGTTGAATTTGGGCTATGGCTTCACCTGCTGGAGATGTATAAATATCTGAATAATATAATAAATTCTAAAAGTTTAAAGCAGGCATTATAATTTACTAAAGCAGAATCGAGTCAGACTACTTCCCAACCCTGTGATTCCTCGACATTGGGAACATGCAGAGGTCCTACAATTGTATAATGAGTGTATTTTACAACTTTGCTCCACAGTATCTTCTTTGCTCCAGATGGATCCATTCACATATTTGTTCAGACAGACACTAATCCGGCGCAGGTTGTGGTTCTTGGCAGAGTTTTGTCCTGAGCATACTTTCACACAGTCAGCACATAAAAATAGCTGAAGAATCTAGATGCCTGGAAGGACCATGCTCCCTGTCAATACTTAACCTGGTCACAGCGGAAACCTAACCTTGCCATAAATAAGGGGTCGATCAGTCCCCCGGGTCGCTGTTTGGTCCAATAGCTTCATATAAACTCATTCATTACTGTTTTCACAAAGGATTTTCACACATTTATAATTGATATGAGCTATTATCATTGCAGCAATTCCATGTATTTTTGTATAGCCCTAGCTTGGCCTTATCCATCCGTACTCTCTGCCCTATCATCATTTCCTGCATGTAACGTCTGGGTCTGGTCCCTGTGTTTGCGATTACAATTGGTTGAATTCCAAACGACTGATCAGCGAGCGCGGGTGTTGTAGTTAGTTGTGAGTGACGTCAAGAGTTTGCGTCAACGGGCAGGTTGTAGCAATGGCGAAGAATGCGATAGTAAAGTATTCCGGTCTGGTTCTATCAAGAAATTGAAGCCGGAGCAAGAGGAATGTTTAGCAAATGTAATCGCTAACAAAACATGTGGTGCTACTCCCCACGGGCTCCGTTAGCGGCAAAGGAGATGGCTAAAGCTAGGCTAAATGCTAACGACTCACTCTGGCGCATAAACTCAGATCCAATCGTTTCAATCTGTAAAAGGAGTAAACCCCTCCCACCTGTTAACGGAGTCAATGGAACACCTCCAGACCTTAGTACAAAATGAAAATCGTACTATGGTGTGGTACGACCAGGCCAGTATAGCCCTAAATCACAGCACAAAGTTGATTTTATCAGCAACAGATCAGAGAGCTCAGTTCGAACATAAGAAATGCAATGATAACAAAAACATAGGAGCCATTGGTCTGTAGGGGCCGGATGACCTTAAACGCATAACTTAGCATTTTTTAGCTGTATTTTCCAGTTTTCTTCCATTGTGCATTAACAATTTTGTTGTAAATTTGGTCATGAATAGCTGTACATTGGCATATCTTATTTTTGAAGTTGAAATAATGGGTTTCTAAGTTCATATCGCTCATGGACATGCTAGCCGATCAACAAAACAAAAACAATGGAAAAAAACAAAAGAGAACCTTTATTTGTCCCATGAA